AATAAAATCATAGGCTCGGTGCCCGTAGCTCAGTGGCTAGGGTGCCAGCCACAAACATACACTAGAGCTGGTGGGTTCAAATCCAGCCTGGGGCTGCCAAACAACGACAAATAGAACCAAAAAATAGCTGGGCATTGTGGCCGGTGCCTGTAGTCCCAGCTACTAGGGAGGCTGAGGCAAGAGAATCCCTTAAGCCCAAGAGTTTGAGGTTGCTGTGAGCTGTGATGTCACAGCACTCTACCAAGGGTGACAAAGTTAGACTCTATCTCAAAAAAACAGAACAAACAAACAAAAAAAGAAATCACAGCTCAAAATGTTAGATGTAAATTGCTTATACAGTTCCTTGCTGGGCTAATGCTAGGAAGATAATACCACCTACTACTGCTATTTGCAATGTAGCTTAAATAGAAGTAGCTAATCTGTTTCACTCCTCTTCTACTCCTACAACTTGGAAGACCAAAAGATTTGCAATGTGCAAAGTGACATTACTTTTAGACATCTACATTGGAATCTTGATCACATGGCTTTTGACTTTCAAAAGATCACTATCATTGCCTTTGAGATTAGGGTTGGCCTATCTTACTGGATTGAAGGTTATACCCGAGAATGGTATTATATAATAAATTTACAAGTGGTTTCTTAGCTGTCACAGTCTTTAAATGGTTCATTTTTAAAGTACCATAACAGGACTTGGGAGAGTACATTTCTTCCCCCACTTATTTCCTTGGCTTAATGTCCTGCTTGAAAATGTTTAATTTTACACTGAAGGAATAATTCCTAAGAGACATTTGTTTGTAAAAAGAAATTGTTACAGGACAGATAAACAGGGTTCAGGAGAGGCCAAATCCTTCTCTGCTTCTTTCAAAGCAGAACAAGAGGGTATTCTTAAACGTGGAAGGAGAAAATGTTTAAATTAAAATCATTAAAACTCCTGCTTTTCAAGACCAATGAAATTAAGATTTTTTTTTGAGATGGAGCCTCAAGCTATCACCCTGGGTAGAGTGCCGCATCACGCTCACAGCAACCTCCAACTCCTGGGCTCAAGCGAGTCTCCTGCCTCAGCCTCCCAAGTAGCTGGGAC